AAGTAAGAATCCAGTTAATACCATGTTTATACCTAGTCTCCAAGTTCATTTCCAACAGGAAGGTTAAAAGAATTTCAGCAGTAGTGATCTTTTCGAACAATAAGTAACTTCAGCTGACTATTCAGTGAAAATATATAAAAAATGGCTACAATGAACAGTGTATAACCGAAAGTTTAAGAAATCTTGATAAACGCTACTAACGAATAAGTATAGTTGTATGATGTAAGTTACTTATGCCAAGCGAGTCAGTGGATTTATTTATTTTAACACATAGATATTGGTACAAGAAGGCACCAAATACATATGCGCCACACAAATCTTATTCGATATGTGCGAGGGCTGTGATACTGCCCGGGTGCCCAAACCGAAGTAGGTGGTTTTCTTAGGGGGCCACTCCCCGAGCCTTTGACCTAGAGGTCTGACCCACAAGGCAGTAGAGCATCGTAAGGAGATGCAGTCCCATGGTAGCCGGTGACCAACGATTGGTTCATACGCCATTTTCCTTTAGGATACTGGAGCCCATGTGCACCATCAGTTTGGGATCCGGTTAAAGCGCCGGACATTCGCTTTTCGTCCTCTCATTTTTGTAAATAACATCCCCGCCACGAGAAGGCAGTGAGTAGGACTTCCCTGACAGAGGCTGTATATGCGTGGCCGTGTGAGAGCACTTCGAGAGAGAGAGCAGGCCCACCCCACTCTCGATCATACCAGGGCATTTGGAGGCACTGTCTCACAACAAACACAATTGAACTCCACTGATCACTAGAACTCCCAAAAATACCTCTTGAATCCAGTCACTAGTCAATACATCATGATCATAATCCTAAAAAAATAAAGAAGAGAGTGGCTTATAAAGATTGTAGTCATTATTCTTTGTTTTTTAATAAGAATAAATCAATTCCTAATGTCAACTTTAATCTATCTCTCTATTTGTATTTTATACAATGTGAATATGAAAACCTTCAAACATTCAATTGTAATTCATAATCACAAGTAAATCACTTCATCATTCAACTACTTCTTCATCATGTGAGATTTAGTTAAATGAATCATACAAGTTCATTATTATGGTTGTTTTATATGCTTATCATTAGTGAAAAGTACAAATCTTATTAGCTTGAAAATAGATATCAATTTTAGAGTTGAAAAATAGGATTTATGCTAATTTGTTTTAAAGATTTTTCAATAGTGTGGTGTATGCTACTGATATCGACAGATATAAGTAGTATGCATCATCAGTTGAAACGATGAACAAGAAGGATCTGATGCAGAACTCAAAACAACTGTCAACCAATGTCAAAATCACAATTTTTAATGCGAACGTAACTGAAACGTGAAGAACTACCACAACTATCAACAAAAACGTACAAGTATTTATAAACAATTGTCTACGTAAGGTACTCAATATCCGTTGGCAGAATATCATCAGCAAAAGCCGACTGTAGGAGAGGACAAACCAGCTTCCAGTTGAATAGGAAATTAGGAAAAGATGTTGGAAGTGGATAAGACATACACTACGAAAATCACGAGGCAAGTCCTAGCTTGAAATCCTGAAGGGAAATGGAGAAGAGGAAGGTCGATGAACACATGACGTCGGGAAGTATAAGCAAACATGAAAAGGATGAATAACAACTGGAAAGGATTGCCCAGGACTGTGTTGGATGGAGAGTGATGTTGGGCGGCCTATGCTCATCCACGAGGAGTAACGGGTGTAAGTAAGTATCGTCAATCGAAATGCCTGTAGGTAGGAGATCAAATAATGAACGCTGTGGAATCGAATGAACAATGAAATTATAGACAATTGTTGGATATTTTGCAAATGAAGTATTTACTGTATGATTCTCAGATTTAACTAAGACGCTCTGTAATTTTTTATTCAACGATATTCCATTGTCTCCATTTATGTTCTCGTTCACTACAGTATGCATACATAATCTTACACAAGATTGAACTAGAAGCTTTAAAGTTTCATAGTTCATGAAATCTAAGATGGCGGAGAAGACTTGTAGCTCAGATGGATGATTTTGATAGTTTTGTTTTCCGAGTTGGATGGTTTGGTCGTTAGACTTTCATCGTTCTTCTGAACGACATCATCAATACAAACTTCAGATAGAAGTGAAGCGTTCGAATTTCTCCATATGCGGTTCACAACTTGTCCTTTACAATGGTTTGAATTTTCAATTTCATTCATTTCGCATTATATCACTACTACATACTTCCATCTCGACTGATTTCATAAACTATAACTTCCTACTAGAACATTAAGAAATTCATCTTGAAGTGATCAGGCGTTCACAAAGTAAGAAACATGAGCTTTCTTGATCTATTTAAATTTTTAAAGAAACTCTACCTACCACATCAGTTCATCAAGTAAAATCAACTCAATTTTGTATAAAATTAAAGTGGATCCTCCGTACCCACCAACTCGGTTGAATAGCCGGACATTCTCTTTTCATCCTCTCAATTTCGTAAATAACACCCCGCAAGGAGAGAAGGCAGCGATTACGACTTTCCTAGGGGTAATTGTATACGCGTGCTTATGTGAGTAAATCTGGACAGAGAGAGCTGACTCTTCCCACTCTCGGTCGTACCAGGACGTTCGGAGGCTCTTCGAAGTAGCGTCTTCAAATATCAGTAAGCTATTCATCTATTCTACATTCAAACGTTCATATCAGGAAATGAGATTGAAATAGATGATTTGCCTATGTAATGAATAGCGTACGTAGTTTGAAAATAAAACGAACTTGGTGGATTCATTTCAATATTATGACATCCATATTATAATGGACGTTGAGGTTTCATAAATGAAGATATTGATCCCATCAACTGTTTCACCCATTTCTGCTTCATTTACTAGTCATTGATGTAAACTAAACCAGACTTAACAATTATATTTTCAGGAATAAAAATGCATTCTTAATATTTTTTTTACACCGTTATCTAAAGCGATGACTACTATCTTCGTCCTTTTATTCTATCTCCAAACATAAGAATAAATAATGAAGGTCAAATAGTAGTGTTACATAACGAATTGCATTCATGAGGGAATAAGATTACTTTTGATCGATAAAACTGTTTGTCCCAAATAGGACGAAACACGCTTTGTCCTGGATTCCACTGCTAGTCACTATCCATCCTTGCTTAAAAAGCTTGTGACTTAAGGCTATATCGAGGCGATTCGCACAGGATACATATATGCCAACATAAGACTGATCAATTGCAGTCCTAAATAACAATAGGAAGACACCAGTAAAACAACACCAAGTAATCTGGTTGTAAAGTTTGCGTATCTTGTATATCAACACGTTCCCATTTGATCATAAGCCACAAATCCCAAGACACCAAGGATGTTTACTGAAGTGACGTATACAATAGTAAACTACTTGAAACTCCTGTTTTGTGTAGTCCTAGTATGCTAGTAATCAGTTGGAAAGTGAGGCTAAATAAAGTTTACTACATAACCATAAGTAACTTAAACAGATTATAGTTTGATCGCTAAATTGCACCAATGATTGCTCAAGGATGTAATAGGAATGAATTCCTTTTAGGACATCACATATTTTAACCATACCACCTTCCTTTTGGGAGCAGTTAGGAAATCTACTCCATCACTGTACAACCCTTCTTTGTTAATAGCAAGATGCTTTGAGTAATGTAAATTACAACAATCAGATATCCCTTAATCTTTAGTTGTTGGATACTTCGATGAGCCAAATTCCACGTTAGCACATGTAGAAACCCGCCAAGCACATACCTACAAATCCTACTTTCAGCAAGTAACCGTTAACCATTATTAATTTTCCGAGATTATCCTTACGTATCTATCTATACAGTGACCAAACTTTCAGATATATTCATAATCGAAACATTTGGCTTTAAGGTAACCGTACAACAATTAATTAATGACTATTACGAACATTTCGGTCATCATGAAATTAGCATGCAGCACTCACTACTACACAATCCATTTCAAAGAACTTTGATCAGCGTTTTTCATGGTAGAAACGACTATTAGAGATGTATGAGTAGTTGACGATTCCCAGATATCTATACTATGAAAAGATAAGCTTTCTTAACGGACGAAAAGAACTGAATTGTCAATGATGTTGTTATTTACCTGGAAAGGTAACTTTAGAACTTGAAAGATAACTACTTTAGACCGGTTACACCGATTTTCATTTTTTGTTACCAAAGGAACAGAAAATCCGTGCCATTTCTAAAATCAACTTTTTTTAATCCCTTTTTCGGTCTGTACAAAGAAAGCATTGCTAAAGATGTTGCTTATCCGTGAGGAACATCTCACATCGACTACACCCCCTATAAAGTTGACAGCATGATTTCGCCCTTGAAACTTGAGTGCACTCCATTAGTTGGTACCGCTATTCAACAGTTTTCAATAAGTTCATTTTGTATTGTTTGTTTGAATCTTCCCATTGATCTTTAGGACTACAATTGATCAGACTCTTATTGGCGCATGTGCATTATGTGTCGATTACCTCGATATTGTCACAAGCATTATAAACTAACATAAATGGTGGTTAGCACTGGAGTCCCGGAGTGAACATCAACTCTGAGATGAAGGTACATTATTTATTTATTTATTTAAACACATAAATATTGGTACAAATGGGCAACGAATACATATGCGCCACACAAGTCACTTGATTTATGTGTGAGTTGTGGTACTGTCCGGGTGCCTAAACCGAAGCAGGTGATGTTCTTAGGGTGTCACACCCGGAGCCTTCGACCTGAAGGTCTGATACACAAGGCAGTGTAGCAACATTAGCAGATTCAGTCCCATGGTAGCCGATGACCAACAAAAGGTTCATATGTCTTTTGTTCCCTCACGATAATGGAGCCCATGTGCACCATTAAATTGGATCCAGGGTTTTCCAACTCGTCTAGGTGGATCCTCCATATGCACCAACGCGGTTAAAGCGCCGGACATTCGTTTTTCGTCCTCTCACTTTCGTAAACAACAGAGATGTCACGAGAATGTAGTGAGTAGGACTTCCTTGTCAGTGGTTGTATACGCGTGGTCATGTGTGAGAGCATTTCGTGAGGGAAAACCAACTCTCCACACCCTTAGTCGTAACAGGGTATTTTTAGGTGACAAATCCCAAACAGAACAAAATGCATGTTTTGGATTCCACTACTAACCACAATCCATCTTTACTTTAAGTTTACATCAATAAAGTTTATTCAACATTGAACAAGAACAAAAACAGCTGATGACATTACGTTCAACGACAACAACAACAACTTGTTACATACATGTATATCATCACAATTCAATGACTACATTAAACTTTATATTCAATTTACATAAACATACAAATAAACCAAACGAATTAGAAACAATACACATCATTCTCATTCAGAATTTACTATTAAACAAACGAATAAGAGAAAGAAAGAAAACAGGATTATTTCATGAAAATATGTATATGTATATGTATATATAATACCATAATGGATGTAGTTCAATATGGATTAAGATGATCATGATGATGGTTGATTAATTTCTTCAATGATTCTTTGAACTTCATCTTTATTGAATAAATGATAATTATCTTTGATACTAACAGTTGCCATCTAAAAAATCATCAAAAGTAATGGATTTAAGAAAGAAAGAAAAAAACAAGGGATAGAAGGAAACAACAACTATAAGATATTCAATTAAATAGATCAATTGAATTCATGAGTTAATAAGTTAGACCATCATTAAGAACCTGAAAGAACTGGACGACCAATTCGTCCTAGTATGATATTGTTCAGCAGTGTGCATCCACGACCCCGCATGTGGGACTCGAACGTTTAACCTCCAGACCACTAAGTCGGCATTTAACGGTGTTAATAAGTAATTTCAATCGATCGATGATCATGAGCAATCCTTCATTCACTGTCTGAAGTGGATAACTGTCTCTACCCGACACGGATCAAACTCCACTGGACACAGTTTATCACTAGAACTCCAGGAAATCCACCGTGAAGCTATTCACTAATCGGCATATGATTATTATCATAATGGGGATTTGTAGAGATCATAGTAATTTAAACAGTCCCGTGTGTGGAATCGTGGATGCACACTGCTGAGTAGTCCTACACTAGGATGACGAAACGGCCGTCCAGTACTTCCAGATTTTCAATGGTGGTCTAGCTTAGATAGACTCATGAATTCAGCTGTTAAAATTACTACAATATCAGTATTAGTCAATCATTACTGTTATAGTTAAAATTGAATATAACTAATAAGTTATAGTTAAATACATTAAATATTTTAAAATAAGAAGTTCTGTACCACTGAACATGTCGATCAAATAACTTATCTTAGAAGATTCAACATGAATCCTATTGAATTAGGTGTTTGACGGAGTCTCAGCACGAATAACGAAATCTAGTTTGGATTTTCCTAAATTGTATCACTTGTAGAATAGGTGTAATATCAGTTTGCCTATTCTCAACTAAATGTTGATGGGATATTTCGTACTATTCTACTTTATGGTAGTAAAAAAAATAGAGACCATTTGGAATTTATTAGTGTTTGATCAATAAGTATTTTGAAGGTATTGTTCAGTTATGTTGAGACTACTGAATGAGCAATGCTGAGATTAGATATGGTACATCAAGTAAAGATGGAAAGTCGGTTGATGACGTAGCGAATTTTTATCGACTAAGGTAGTTGGGATATATGTTACGTATGCCCGAGAACCGCCTACCTCGACGCAAGATTATTGATGGTGTAGAAGGAAACTAGAGGCGGATAAAATAGGCGGTATTAGTCCATTGAAGTCATTGACTATTGAATAGAGCCATGTAGATATCTGCAGGTTACTTGGTCGGTGTCTGTGCAATTACTGTAACCAAAGGTTATCGATGTTAGGTGACATGGTTCTAAATCAGTTGCAAAGGTATACATGAATTGACATTGTCCTAAAAGACTTTTACTTCACATCCCTAGAATTCTTCTTTTCCTTTTAGAATTATATTCCATGTCTATCGTTTCATACTACCAAGGATAATGTTACGACTTCGACTACCCTGGTTTTACCGTAAAAAGATTCATTTCACTGTGCTAATGTGGTGTGATGATGCATATATGTAGCACGTTCTATGTTGCTTGTAACGAACTAAATAACTAACTAAGCCGTTCCATTAACATCTCTGAAGACAAGAGACAGTAACTTAATACACGATCATATGAACTTGTGTACTTGATCAATGAGTTACCGTTTACCAAACCTAGATTACTGAGTCCCATAATGATTATTTATTTATTTATTTGAACACACAAATATTGGTACAAGAGGGCACCAAATATATATGCGCCACACAAAACAATGAGAATCCGAAGAGAAAAAAAAGAAGTTAAGGTGTGTATAAGAAGAAAACAATAACGACCACAGATTAGTGTAAGGTAGTGTAATAAAAATAGGAGAAAAAAGGTATAACCAGAAAGAATTCTTTCAGTTAAGGAAGTTACAACCACTTTTTATGAAGAAAGTAAAAGGTTACAGCAGGATCGCAAATGGCTTCTATTCTGAGCCATATCTCATAACGTCTCTAGCCACTGTTGCACAATCTCCAAGACCCCAGCCAAGGAGTCGTGAAGGATCAACACAAGCCAGCCCCATGCAGCTTTCTTTCATACCACGACACCATTTCATACACTGACCACCTCTCTGCTTCTTCCAACCAGTCCCAGAGTCAGCAAATTATGCACGATGTGGAATTCTCTGGGACGACATTCGTAGAACATGTTCAAGCCACTGAAGTCGATGTTTCAGAATAGTGACACCAATTGGATTGTCGTCTCTACGCCCAAACACACGATGTCGAACCTCTGCATTACTAACATGGTGTTGCCACTGGATGTCAGCAATCCTTCGGAGACAACGATGATCAAACACAGAGAGTCGTCTAACATCAGCAACTCGGAGAGGCCAGGTTTTACAAGCATAGAGTAGAACCGATGCGTTAGATGAAAGCCATCAAGTATGTATAAAACCACATGTAACAAAGTGAAATAATATACTGTAGCTCTCCTTATAATATTGATACGTTAACTGACTATATTGAATAAAAACTCATATGATTTAACTAGACTACAATCTTGGTTTATGCAGATAAAGACAGCCAGTGTAGCAGAGGTCTCTGCATCAGTAGAGGTCAAAATACATAAGGGGAAAATTAAGGTCCTTAAATACAACACGGAGAAAACCAATCCAATCACACTTGATGGCGAAACTCTGGAAGATGTAGAATCCTTCACATACCTGGGAAGCATCATCGATGAACACGGAGATTCAGATGCAGACGTAAAGGCAAGGATTGGCAAAGCAAGGGCCGCATTCCTTCAATTGAACAACATACGGAACTCAAAACAACTTTCAACCAATATCAAAGTGAGAATGTTCAATACCAACGTCAAGACAGTTCTACTGTACGGAGCTGAAACTTGGAGAACTACAACAACCACCATCAAGAAGGTACGAGTATTTATAAATAGTTGTCTTCGCAAGATACTCAACATCCATTGGCCGGATACCATTAGCAACAGCCTTCTGTGAGAGAGAACAAACCAGCTTCCAGCCGAAGAAGAAATTAGGAAAAGACGTTGGAAATGGATAGGACACACATTACGCAAATCGTCAAACTGCATCACGAGGCAAGCCCTAACTTGGAATCCTGAAGGGAAGCGGAAAAGAGGAAGGCCAAAAAACAAATTACGTCGGGAAATAGAAGCAGATAGGAAAAAGGTGAATAACAACTGGAAGGAGCTAGAAAGGATTGCCCAGGACAGGGTTGGATGGAGAATGCTGGTGAGCGGCCTGTGCTCCTTCACGAGGAGTAACAGGCATAAGTAAGTAAGAATATTGGTTTAATAGTAGAAGAATGTTGCATTTAACCATCCTATATTACAATTTCCAACCCCATTGAACAACCTACTTCAGTTCGAATAGAAAGTGTGACACAAAGTGGGATTATATAAGAGTCTGACTAGTTACTAAGTTGCATATTGACTGATTTCTTTGTAAAAAAAAGAAACAATAAAAAAGTATATAGGCTTACTTCAACATTGGTTGAATCCAGTTTTTCTTCCATAACTTGTTTTAAAATTGATAAAGCATGTTTACATCCCTCATGTAATGTCATATTCTATATAAACATTTGTAAAAAGAAAAACAAACAAACAGATTAAGTGTTAATTGTGAAGGTGAACATACACAAACACACACACATATATATACGACTCGTTTTAGATACACAGAAAGAGGATATTACTTACCTCAAGTACGAAAAAACTCAAAGTACAGATTCGTGTACTGGACTTTGAACTATACTTATACTGTATAAAGATCCGTAATACTATTCTTTAAATATTTCATGTATTCACCAGAGTAAATTAATCAGTCAGTCAGCTACAACGTAGGACCAGGCACATATATACATCGGTCCAAGTTGCCATACTTCACTTATTAGTACAAGATGAACATCAAATTCATAGTAATTACATCAATGATACCAATGTATAAAAGAAAGATTGCACATAACGATATAGTACAGGAAGAAAGATATCAAGCGATTTTAATCTCATAGTTTAAGGGAAGACAAAGAGTGTATACACCCATACCATTGTGACTGATTCTTAGCCATGTCACATACAGTCTCCAACCATTCGTCACGATAGTCACATAGACCCGAAACAAGTACTCTGCATCTACCAACATTGCTCATACCACAAGTTAGTGGCTTCAACAACTGATGCCACGTTTTGGTTTGGTCTACACGAACTTTCTTCTAACCACCCCAACACTAGTCAGCATTGCGCGTCGTGGTAATCGGTGTTCAGGCATACGTAACACGTGGCCCGACCATCTCAGTCGATGAAGATTCACAACCTCATCAACTTATTTACCCTGTGCGTCTAATCTCACTATGAATTACCTGGTGATCCCAGCAGATGCGAGCAATATTTCTAAGGCATCTGTGGTCAAATACTAGTAGCTTACGAGTATCTTCTACTCTTAATGGCCACGTTTCGCAGCCGTAAAGTAGTATGGAACCAGAGTAAATAATTGATCGAGTTCTCACGAATTCACTAAAGTTGAAAATGATGAAGAGTGGTCTCAAGATAACATATTTTCCCGGATACTCAAAGGTCCTGAGGTTTGATACCAGTATAAATCTAGAGTGTTCCCCGGTGAAACATAGTCGACTAGGACCAAATAAATATTTTAGTACCTTATACTCCTCGGATTTCAATAGTCCCATAACTGATGTCATTTTCTAATGAAAACTATGCTACGAAATGAAAGTAATATCCGCAAACACTACAACTTACTAATAAATTAGGCATTATGTAGTTTCCAATTACATTTGTTTTATTTTTTCTCCTATTCGATCAAAAAAGTACAGTAAAGCTAGTGATCGCTCAGTTTAGAATTGTCAGTGGATGTAACAACACAGTAGATTAAGTCTAGTGAGCAATTGTTATCCAACGATCACTATGCTTTCTTTTGCATCATCATTCATCACTGTTTTTACAACGACTCAATGATAACACTAGATTACTCAATCCCAAATAAATGGAGTGATCAAAGTCAAGTGCTTAAATCTATATACCAATACTGTAAAAGATATTACCAAATCAATAAGATAAAAGGGTTTATGAGAATGGAACCAACAGTTGAAACTGTAATCTAGACGGATAAATAACAAAACAATAAGTGTTTCAAGCTTTTTATTATGAAGTATTTAAGTACTGGGATTGTTAATACCTGAGAGGTTCAGTACACACATCTTTAAAGGCCTAAAATCCTACAGTTATTATCTGTTTAACACTATTTTAATTTAATGATTTATTTATTTGAACACACAAATATTGGTACAAAGGGGTACCGAATACAAGTCATTTGATTTGTATGTGGCCTTGAGTGTCCAAACCGAAGCAGGTGGTTTTCATAGAGACCCACACTCGGAGTCTTTGACCTGAAGGTGTAATCCACAAAGCAGTGGAGCAACGTCACGAGATGCAGTCCCATGGTAGACGGTGACCATTAATGGGTTCATACGCCATTTGTTCCTTCAGGATACTGGAATCCATGTACACAAGTGGTTTGGTATCAGAGTATTCCAACTCCCCTGGGTGAATCTTTCATATCCACTAAGCATCGGACATTCGCCTTTAATCCTCTCAATGTCGTAAACAAAATCCCTACCACGAGAAAACAGTGAGAACTTCTGTATATGTGTAGCTATATGAGAGTATTTCGAAAGAGAGACAACGGAATTTCTCCACCTTCAACTGTATCAGAGCATTTGCAAGCTTAAATGTTTCCTAATATCAAATAGTAAAAACACACTTTATTGTACAATCATTTCCGCATTATAATCACTATCATCATCATCATCATTATGATCTATAGTTTGATAACTTTGTAATCAACATACGTTCGAAGAGAATTGTATGCCATATGCATGCAAATCCTCCCCGTTATTGTTCCTATTTTCCCCCAAATGCCCTGGTACGGCCGTGAGTGGGGAAAGGCCACTCTCTCTCAAAATGCTCTTACATGGCCATGCGTATATAGCCTCTACCAGGGAAATCCTACTCACTGCATTCTCGTGGCATTAGTGTTGTTTACGAAATTGAGAGGACGAAAAACGAATGTCCGGTACGCAAACCGGGTTGGTGGACAGGGAGAGTCCACCTAGAGGAGTTGGAAAACCCTGAATCCAAACCAATAGTGCAAATGGGCTGGCTCCAGTATCCTGAAGGAACAAATGGAGTATGAACCAATCGTTGGTCACCATTTACCATGCGACTGTATCTCCTTACGTTGCTCCACTGCCTTGTGTATCAGACCTTCAGGTTGAAAGCTCAGGGTGTGGTCCCCTAAGAAAACCACCTACTTCGGTTTGGGCACCCAGGCAGTATCACAGCCCTCACACATATCAAATGAGATTTGTATGGCGCATATTGTATTTGGTGCCTCCTTGTACCAATATCTATATGTTCAAATAAATAAATAAATCAACATAGTGACATTATATAATACAACATGAACAATTATTAATCTGGATCACATGTTCTATCCTGAAAGAATCCATTAAAGGAATGATTTGCATTATTCCAATAACATTAATTTCCTAACATAGAATTAATTATAACTAGTTTAATTGTAATAATAATAATATCATTATAATTACTTATATCTAATAATAACTATTCAATAATTAATGTATAAAGGTAACTACTATAGAAAAACTTATTTATTTACTTATTTTAACATATAGATACTGGTACAAGGAGGCACCAAATACATATGCGCCATACAAATCTCATTTGATATGTGTGAGGGATGTGATACTGCCCCCCCCCGAGTGCCCAAAACCGAAGTAGGGAAAAAATAAATATTAGATGATATGTGTGTTTAAACGATCAAAATAATCGTAAAAATAATAATGAATTGATATATACTACTATTAGATTAGAACAGCTGAATTGCACCAAGGTAGCAATTATACTACTACTACTATTACTACTAATAATAATAATAATAGTGCTAATAATACTGCTACTATTACTATTAATACTGATGCCACTACTGCTACCATTACCACTATTACTACTACTACTACTACTACTACTACTACTACTACTACTACTACTACTACTACTACTAATAATAATAATAATAATAATAATAATAATAATAATAATAATAATAATGATACGTTGATTCGCACACATGATTACATAATAATAGTACTAATACTACTACTATTATCATCAGTAGTATTATTAATAATAATTTGTAAGCTTTATTTATTTGTTTATCTTTTGTTCCACAGAAAGTAATGAAATCAAGATGTTTGTTTGTTTGTTTGTTTTCCTTTTTAATTACATTCACCATTGAATATTAGAATGAAAAAGGGAAAAGTACAATTTAGTTATCAGCTGAATTATTTACAAATTTAATGATGTATAAAAGAGAGATATTATCAATTATATATATATATTGGAATGTTAACATGAAAGAAAAGAAAAGGGGTAAAAAGAAAGAAAGAAACTCGATTCATGAGTATCTAAGCAGCTAGCCTATGTCTGGTAAAGGATACTAACTCATTTGAGTGTGTCTAGCGTGTGGGACCGAAATTAGTGAAGGGTCTTTCTAAACTCCCTTACGATGAGAGTTTAAAACGTCCTAAACCTTTTCCCCTTGTCGTATCGTAGGACGCGAGATGACCTTATACTTGCATTTTGTATCTTTAATTATGATTTGGGTGTTAATATGTCTTATCTTTTTGCTCCCTTCAGCACTAATAATCTCTGAGGTCATAGCAAGTAGGTTCATAAACCACGATCTAATAAAATTTAAAATGGGGTCTCGTTTTTCTCATCGAGTAGTCAATGATTGGAACGCCTTACCCGAACAAATGGTATCAGCACAATCAGTGAATATTTTCAAGGAGAAACTGGACTTTCATTGGAAGGTAATCTGTCAGGATTAACACTGGTTCACCAACCTACTATCCTTATTACTGAAAACTGAAGATGACAAAGAGCTTTCTTTTCGAACATGATTAAAATATCTTTTACTTATTATAGGACAAAATGACAAGTCATTGAACTTTTGCGATTGGTGACTGTAGATGAGAATGAAGGTTTTGAAATGATCTTCAGTTAGCGAATTCAACCGGATGTGTTCACATACGTGGTTGATGATGCTTATATTTGTCAGAAAATCGTCGTGTTCGTTTATAGTCAACTTCAAATATCGATAACGCACGTTGAACAGTGAGCAGCTATTTTCGAACTCTTGACCTAATGACTGAACGGTTTCCGAGAATAAGCGATTATATGGATTAAGAGGGAGAATTAAGTTACAGTATTTATTTAGTTCACTTGGACTGAGCTTTCGAAGGAGCAAGCGGACCTTCTTAGCGTCATCTTGATGATTAGCAAAAGACAAGTTTGAATAAGTCATCATAACGCCGAAACCACATATCAAATGTGAGCTTGTATTCAGGATTGTAATGAAACTCAGAGATACTGTTCGCGATACCATCAACCGAAGGTGCAGTATTAGCAGAATTAGAAATGCTTGGTTGTGAATTAGGCGTAATTTTTACATCTGCTAACATCTGGATAAGTTTCAGCTGCTGCTCGAGTAATAATTCCATTTTCTTAGAGATCCATGTTTGTACTAGCCTCATCGGAAAATTTTGACTTTTTATCCCGTTATATTAACTTACAATACCGATATATTATATCATTTAGTGAACGAACTTAACCTGGATTAGTAACTGATTAGGAATAACCACCAAAATTATTTAAAATGCCAAATACGCTATTTAGCCAAAAGGATGAATGAATTTCGCGCCGAAATCCGAGACCTGTTATCTTATACATGATTGGTTCGTCCATAAATTATAGTTTCGCCGCAACATGATTTATGTGTATAAACTAATCTTGTAGTGAAAATTCATTTATAATAATCCTTTCATGTTCAATTAGTTAAGAATGTTGAGAGTTTAGAAATTGAACGAGAAGTCTTTGTTATTATAAGTGTATTTAGTGTAGATATGGAGAATCCAACTAGAAGAGTTGAAAAATCTTCATTCCAAACCAATCGCGCACATGGGCTCAAGCATCCTAAGGAAACAAATAGCATATGAACCAATTATTGGTCACCAGCTACCATAGGACTGCATCTGCTAACGTTGCTTCAATTCCTTGTAGACTAGACCTTCAGATAAAAGGCTTTGGGTATGGCCCCCTCATTATTATTGTGTGGCCCATGTATTTGTGTCGCCCCTCGTACCAATGTTTATATGTTGAAATAATAAATAACAGAAAAAAAATAAATGAGAAGTAACTAAAAGCTACTATTATTCTCCAAATTCCCAATTGTTTCTAGGCATAATATCTTAGTTTCTCTGATGTTACGAGATTGTAGCTTTAAATAATGATTATTGAATGATAGTTTAAAAGCTTTAAGCACTTGACTTTCAACCATTACGCTGTAGATTTAAACCTAGGTTCATTAGCTTTGGTTCAGATAGTAACAGTAGTCCCCATATATACTGAAAATGTAGCTTGATAATGCTAAACTGTATAAGTCTGTATTACGTCTAGAAAACTACATTCACAATAAATAGTAATACGTCAACAACAACAATTATTATTATTAATTAGTTAATAGATTTTAAAACAATTAACCTTATGATATATTTCTTGTAACGCTTGTTGTGCACCTTCAGAACCGGAACCAATTGCTTTAGCCTCATATCGAATATAAGTTCCACTTGGATCCATATGATACAATTGTGGACCACGTTCATCAACTCCAGCAAATAATAAAGCAACACCAAATGGACGACTCTATTGTAGTGATAAAATTATGTAGATTATTGTTGGTAAATAAAATATTCAAAAAATATATTTATAATAATTTGTATTGCAGATAAGCATTGATATAAGTAGTAAATTGCATGATTGTGAAATAATGCCCAAATGCCCTGGTAGGCTGAGAGTGGGGAGAGTCAGCTCTCCCTCTCCGAATGCTCTCACATGGCCACGTCTATACAGCCACTGCCAGGGGAGTCCTACTCATTGCATTCTCGCGGCATTACTGTTAATTACGAAATTCAGAGGAAGAAAAGCAAATGTCTGGCGCTTTAACTGGGTTGGTGGACATGGAGAGTCCACCTAGAGGAGTTGGAAAACCCTGATTCCGAACCAATGGTGCACATGGGCTCCGGTGTCCTGAAGGAACAAATGGAGTATGAACCTAATACTGGTCACTCGCTACCATGTGACTGCATCTCCTAAAGTTGCTCCACTTCCATCAGGTTGAAGGCCCCTGATGTGGCCCCTTAAGTAAACCACCTACTTTGATTTGGGCTCCCGGACAGTATCACAGCCCACACACAAATCGAGTGTATTGTGTGGCGCATATGTATTTGGTACCTCTTTGCATCAATATTTATGTGTTCAAATAAATAAATCATTAAATAGAAACAGTATTAAACAGATAATAACTGTAGGATTCCAGGCTTTTAAATGTGTGCGTACTGAACCTTTCAGATATTAACAATGCCAGTGTGGTGTGAGCTACTTATATTCACAAAAGTAGTATATAACGATGGTTAGTAATAAAGTGCATTTCAGTAGATAATCTAGGAGGAAACAACGGGGATGGAAAGCGATTGGTATGAAAATGCACGAACAGTGAAATCTGAGGCGATGCACTGAGATTTGCAAAAAGAACAGTTAAATTTGAGACAATTGATTGATATTTTGCAAATTAACTATTTACTGTATGTCCAACGTCAACTAACCCACGAAATTGAGTGACACATCCACCATTGACATCAGTGAGTTACTAACAACAAACGCAATTGAACCCCACCGGTCACTGCTTCTCACTAGAACTTCATGATATCCCTCTTGAAGCCAGTCACTAGTGAGCACCGTTGGATGCCGACCGGCTCGGTGGTCTCAGCAGTGCGCAACCACGAACCCACTGGCGGGATTTGAATCCAGAGCACTCAGTCTCGCGCGCGAGACAGGTATCTACCTCAGTACAATGGAAGATGGTCACGTAATTTCGTGGATTGGTTGCGGTTAGATATTAACACCGTTAGATACCGACTCAGTGGATGCGCAGTGCTGAAGAGTCTCACAATAGGACGAAACGACCGTCCAGTACTTCCAGGTTTTCCATGGTGGTCTAGCTTCAATTGATTCATGATTTCAGTAAACGAAATTTCCAAAATTTCCAGAAAACCCCTTCTGATATTAATCAACATATGCTCACTAGTAACTGCCTTCAAAAGGTATTTCCTGGAGTTCTAGTGAGAAGCAGTGACCAGTGGAGTTCAACCAGGTCTGTTGTGAGATAGTAACTCACCGGAGACAATGGTCGATGTGTCGCTCAATTTTTTGGATTAGTTTAATTTAGACATTAACACAATTGGATTCAAACCGTCTGAGTAGTCTACAGGTAAAGCGTGCGCGCGCAAACTGATAGATCCTGGGTTCGAATCCCGTGGGGCAGGATCATAGATGCCCACTGTTGAGGAGTCCTACAATAGGACGAAACAATCTTCCAGTACTTCCAGGTTTTCAACAATGATCTAACGTCAAACCGTTCATGATCTCAATCAAAAAATCTAACACAATTTAGTTTCTGTACGTACAGAAAAGAAACTAATCAATCATACATGGAGATACCCTCAAAAAACAAAAGGGTAATGAAATTTATCATTCTATTTACTCCACTAATAGTAGATTATGATAAAATCACAGTGCACATTTGCACATATACAAATACACATACACGCAAACACACACACACACACCCTGACATACATAAACACAAACTCATCAAATCAAATCCAAACATAAGAGTAATGATTATCTTGAATTAAAACAAAAAGAAAAATTGAACAAAGCAATTAACCATTAAACCCGATTTTGTTTTTTTTTGTTGTTGTTGTTGTTATTATAGAATAAAGTCAATCGATAGATAAAGTTTAATATGAAGGGTTATTATCACCATAAAATGGAACATAAGAGTTGAAGTTTGTTAACATCAGTTCAAACAAAACATTATTAATCATACATTGAATTGAATATAAAATTTTTCAAGTTCTATATGTTGAAATAATATGGTTAGAGGTAATCCGTAGGTAGGTAGTAATGAATGTCGCTCAATTTCATGGATTAGTTGAAGTTAGACAATAACACCGTTGGATGCTGACCGGCTCGATGGTCTAGTGGTTAAGCGCTCGTGCGCGAAACTGATAGGTTCTGTGTTCGAATCCCACGAGGCGGGGTCGTAGATGCGCATTACTGAGGAGTCCCATATCAGGAAGTAAACGGTCATTCAGTGCTTCCAGGTCTTCCATGATAGTCTACATTCAATTGACTCATGATCTCAACTATTGAAATTATTACAATCTCCACAAAAACCCCTCTGATAGTAATGAAACCTCTTAATCAATAGAATCTAGTCAGTATCAACGACCAGAAAAACATGATATTGGTCATTACATAGTGATCAACCAATACAATAACGTGGTGATAAACAAAGAGGATCTGATGCAGATATGAAGGTGAGGATTGACAAAGCAAGGACAGCAAGAACATATGAAACTTAAAACAATTGTCACCCCAAATGCCCGGAAACAGCCGAGAGTGGGGAGAATCAGCTTTCCCTCTCGAAATGCTCTCACATGGCCACGTGCATACAACTACTGTCAGGGAAGACCTGTTCACTGCCTTCTCGTGGCATTAGTGTTGTTTACGAAATTGAGAAGACGAAAAGCGAATGTCCGGAGCTACCATGAGACTTCATCTCCTGACGCTGCTCCACTACCTTTTGGATCAGACCTTAAGGTCGAAGGCTCTGGGCGTGGCTCTCTATGAAAACCACCTGCTTCGGTTCGGGCACCCGGGCACTATCCCAGCCCTCACACAAACCAAATGATTTATGTGGCGCATACCTATTTGGTGCCTCCTTGTACCAATGTTTATGTGTTTAAATAAATAAAATCAGAATCTTCAATACGAAAGTCAATACTGTTCTGCTGTACGGAGCTGAAAACTGAAGAACTACTACGACCACCAGCAAAAAAGTACAAGTATTTATGAACAATTGTCTACACAAGATACCTAATGTCCGTTGACCAGATACCATTAGCAGCAACCTACTGTGAAAGAGAACAAACCAGCTTCCAAGTGTAAAGAAAATCAGGAAAACACGATGTACAGCGTGTGATACAGTGGATGAATGAGGATTTAATACAGATTACTTATTAATAAAAGAGAGCTGATGGTTTATTCCTTAGTTTAAATAAACTTTTTACAAGCTTGTAAGAGTCTATAACCATGATTAGTAACAAAACTCTGAAATCACGAACTGATCTTAGCTAGATCACCATTAAAAACTTAGAAGCAATAGGACGAAACAACCATCCAGTGCTTCCAGGTTTTCAATGGTGGTCTAACTAAGATCGATTTGTGGTTTCAGTTGTGTTAATACTACGATATTCAAAAATCCTCATATATATTAAAAAGGTATTCGTTAATTATAACTGTATGAATGAATACTCGATCACACTGTATGACTTATCATATTACATAAACTTACAAATGAACAACCCATTCAAATTTATTTTATCATACTCAACAAGCAAATATCTCTGTCAGTTTATCGGTGGTTGATCTCATTTAAACACGATTCATCATTTCTAAATACATTCAGGGCTTTATGAAACTACCCGAAAAATAAAGAAATATTATTTGCCTACTTACAGTATCAAATAGTAGTTAAAGTAATTTTGTAAAATTCAAGTTTATGCGAAACCAATGTTACTGTTAATCTTAGGAAATATTACTTAAACATCTCCACTTAAAACAGTAGTATGCAAAATATAAGAAGATGAGGCTCTTATGGTTTCAGTATTAATCAAAAGATTTCCAAGGGGTTGGAAGTTTTAGTTACGTCAGGTTGAATATCAATAGTTTGATTAGTCAAACATTAAACTTTTAGGATGTTGGACTCTATCAATATTGGTTACAATAACTGAATAGAAGTGTAGGCACTTACCAAGATTCTCTACCTAAAATATCGAAGCAGTCTCATGACCTATTAAAATTTCCAGCATTGTTAAACAAAGCTACAATTCGGCAGGATTAAACAAATAAGTTACTAGCAGTACAACAATGTGGTTCGTGTGTTTGGCTTAACTTGAGAAAGTTCAGGAGTTGGTTAAGACCCTTAGTAGAGGTCTAAAGTGACTTAAGTTTAAATCTAGGAGAAACCTTATGGTTAAAAATGAACTATGCTAGTATGTGGATGATGTTGCCGGCTAACAAGAAACGTAGCTAAATGAAAGCACTTTTCCCACTTGAATGACTAACACTCTTCAAAATAGTGATACCCTGAAGTTATATTCACTTAGGAAGTAGTGTCTGTGTGTGACAAATAACAAAATCATTCAGTGCTTAGATTAAGATAAACCTGTTAAAAAGCACTGTTTTATAGTTAGGTAATTAGACCACTGAACTGCATGATGAATTCCGGGAAAGATTCGAAAAACAAATAAGAAAATTATATCAAATCTAATTGCTTACCATTGCACCAGACTCCATATCATCATCACCAAATGCTAGAGCCAAGTTACTCACAGCTTTAGTCACATCCTCAATAGTCATTTTTTCATTGTATACGAACCAATGATGAGCTGCTTCTGTACGTGCACGTTCTATGAGGGTTCTTGCATCAGCAACAAGGCCACTAACAGCGCATGCTAGCATTAGGAAAGACGAAAACAAATTTTAACAAATTGTTAAAACTTTAGTTATCAGTGCTGGGGATCTGTGCAATCTCAAATTATACCTCATAAGAAGCATATCAATATCATTTAGATTGAGATTCTTTTACAGTAACTTATTCAGTGCAAGTACTTTTCATGGAATTCCGATACATTACAATATTTTGTGTCCATAACAACTACTTAGTTTAAATGCTTCAACCATTATTTTTATATATATAATCGACAAACTTAGTGTTTTTTCTGGATCAGTTACTCTAGGTCAACATCAAAAAGCTGGTGTTTTTACTCTAGTTGATGAGGTAGGGAGAAAAAAGAGGGTAGAAGTAGTTTCATCCACAGTAGTGAGACCATTAGCACAGTGCACGAACGGAGATTTGGAGCAAAGAAAAACGGAAACTAAGCTACTTCGAATCCATATCAGCTAGAGACAAGGTTGATAAAAAATGGTTCCTATCAAATTAAAATGACTACTGGAGTAGAAGCTTAAATTGATCCAGTTGGTGACGAACTCAAAATACAGAGCAGCGAGAATAGTTAGTGTACCTACACCCAAGGTTGCATCTACCGATGGTATTGCAAACAGCATCGCCGAATTTGACTATGAACCAGATTCAAATGTTACATTAGTCACATGACTCAGACGGTATGAGTTTCTTCAAATTTGATTTTGCTAAGCAAAACGATCAGTGGAAAGTTCAACTGTTACTTGGAAAATTGGGTCCAGCTGAGTTGGACAAGTATTGTAACCCAATCAAAATTGATTTGCTTCCCATAAGTTGTAATTTGAGATCGTATATCCACATCACCTGCACTCTAATTGATTCCCCTGAGTCCACTTGAAACTGTATGGTCTGTCACCGTTTTCTGGAAGATTGTTTTCTAGAAGGCAGGTTTGCTTGTTCCGGAGGTTCCGTCTGTTTTTTTCTAGTGTCATTCTGGGGCTCTAGAAGACTAAAATTCATTATCTGAAACCATAGTACCTGATACACCATTGTTCGAAAAGATATTCGTCATTAACCAGAGAGTTTTGGTTACTGTTGGTGGGACCACTTGAAAAATCTCTGGCAATTTTGAGAATGAGTCAACGTGAACTAAATATGTGGTGCTATTGACTGATCCTGCAAAACCAATGTAAACTCCGGACCATGGATCTTCAGGTAGTGGCCATGAAACCGAAGGCACTTGAGTTTTGCTACTTGTTGACATTTGGTGCAGCCATCCACAAAATCTGCAGTTCTCAGGTTAGTAAGTGACCAACGGGGAAAACTTCTGGAAATGAACTTCATACGATTTATACCTGGATCGCCGTTGTAAAATTATCGTTGAACTTGAGGACGAAACCATTTGACCACTACCATCACCCATTCTCTGAACATTAAGCGGTCATCTACGATGCATAATGATTTACGACAGTAAATAAGTCATTTTATCTCCTCGTCAGAATGAGTCTTCGTTTATCCATTCACGACGAGTCTCAATACTTTCTGAAGTACATGATCAACTTTTGATGCGGACTGGGTACTAGCAAGGCTCGAATGCCAGAAAGAAGTTCCTCACTATGACTACTAAAAGATACCCAACTCTGTTACAGCTAGATAGCTTCAGGTATAACCACTACATCACAGAAGCTTTGGAGAATGATGGGAAAACCCAAGATCCAAAAACAATTTAAACACCTCACTTTATGTGCGGAAGATATCTCCAACTTCTGTAGGAACGGCAATGTACCACATAGTTCCGAGATATCACATTCACAGAAGTGTATTATGTCACACAAGCTTAACTAAATTCACTCTGAACTTATTGGTTCGACCGGTTACATGAATCTACTCATCTAAACACATTGGTACAAAGGAGCACCAAAATACAAACGCACATGAATTCGTGTTGAGTCGGGATACTGTCCAGATGCCCAAACCGAAACCGACCGTTTTCTTAAGGGGTCACTCCCCAGGCCTTTGACCCTAACTCATCCTGAAGACCGAGTAATTCATCATGAAAGCATATTTTTCGTGACTTCGACTAAACAGGATGAGTAAAAGGCGAAAGATTTATCCGCAAAAACAGGATGAGTAAATCAAGGGATCTTTAGATAAAGGATTTTATGAGACTACTAAACATAATCTAGCTAAACGAATGACTATGAAAAAAAAGTTATAAAAACGCCTAAAATTGATTGATCACTGAGTGGTAACCAATGCCATATTTGTCTAATCCTTTAACGCTAACCGAACTCTATTGATCACGTTACAATGTGACAGAGGGTTTAAGTGACTTAACATCTTAGAAGAAGAACAATCTGTTAGTACGATGAACATAAGCATCCACAAAAACGCAGTTCATTTCATGGTATCTCACCTTTATTCTTCCTACGTCGCCACTGAAATGTCTTAACATAGAAAAGTGCCTTTGAAAATACAGTATTCCAGGCGATTACAAGAGAGTTGACAGTTCGTCATAAAAGAATATGTATCAGATTCTGATTGACCACATAGGTACTTCACAGTTGTTTACACATTCAGCATCAAGAAATCCTATTCTAGATGATAAATTACGCTTATACTGAAGAATTCCGCTACAACTATTACTATAATATCAAGACAAGATTTAAGAAAATGACAATGAGTAATTGTATAAACTTTCTGCTTTCCTTGAAAAGAAGAAAGAGGAGGTTGTATATCATACTTTGTAAAGTTTATACAAAAGGTTTGAGGTAATCTTGAATTTCAGATACATTCTACTCTAACAAATGATTCTACAGCATAATCCTTCAAATAAGGAAATGCAACGATTTGTAATGTGTACTACGTGTGTTAAGGGATTTGATGAAAACGGGAATATATTAAGTACAATCGCTAACTGGACTAGACATGTGCCATTCATCAACAGCTAGTAGCTAAGGTATTTCGTAAAACCTCAAAAGTAACACAGCAACTAAAATTTTATACAGAAACAATGCTCCTCATAGATCGGTGATGAGGTGAAACTACTTTAACAGAAAATATCAAATAGAGCTCTTGATGCCTACTCGAAGGCTGTCAACCTTTCGTTCTTTGCTATAAACATCCCATCTATGTAAAGAGAGGCCTTGGAACTAACGTAGACCCCTCACTTTGCGTAGTAAAATTCATGTGATTAGGCATCCCCACAAGAATATACCCACGTGGTGGGGTCTTTCAGACGGTTTGCTTGATGAACATGAATTTCGCTTCGGTTAAGACGATACGAGGCAAGGGATAAGCTTACCCGGACATATTTTGTATGTGCTACTTACATGTTAAAGTACAGAAAAACTTTGTCATCTAAATACAGACCTGTCACTTATCACCATTCAACATATCATTTTAACAAAAGGCAAATTACAGTCAAGTCCTGTTTTAGCCCCAAGCTTTCGTTTTAACGACTATGTTTGCTATAAATAAAGCTTCAAAATAGTGTGTTGCGGTTAAGTGCATCACTTTCACTAATTATTAGGTGGAATCATGGACGTCTAAAAATGGCTTACCTATGTGCTTATCTACCTCAAAAATCTTTTCAATACTGGAGGGTATAATCAAAGTCGAGTTCACCCGTTTTTCTACAGCCATAACAACACCCTCACTTGTCTTGATTCCGATTCCAGTTGAACCCAGCTGTTTGGAATATTAATAATAATACACAATACAACCTTTGTAGCTTCTATGGCGTATTCTACTTGGAAGAGTCGTCCCTCAGGGGAAAACGTATTAACTCCACGATCATACTCTGTCCTAGTAAGAAACATAGCACGCGGAGGTGACAAAGGTGACAAAGGTAGAATTCAACTATTGCGGGTATGCTTTTACCTGAGGTCACAGAACTTAATATTGTGGCAGATATAAAACGTGATGTGAACTGACAAAGTTTAGACTTTTACTTACATCCTTTCATTTTAATTCATGCTAGAACTGCGATTCTAATGATAATAAGCTTTTATTGCAATTAACTGCTTCTGAAGTCATAGTTTTACACTGTCTTATATAGTAAAAATTCTAAAATCTGTTGATTAGAAATAATAAAATTCTGATTCATTATGATTTTCTAGTGAATTAAGAGGGGTGTTTTTCGATTAAAATGTGTTGTAATGGCCGTTTCTGTTTCTCAGGAACATCAAAGTGCAAACTACTAATTAATGGTTTTACTGAGGTCCACTACAGAGCGGTCACGAGAAAACCCCTAGTGTCCCTTGGTTCTGTTGATACCAAAGTGAACTTCTAAACCTCCCGATAAGAAATAAAAGGCGGGCGAAGTCAGTGTTTGCGCTTACAACCAATTCCTCAGTTTACATGTCGTAAGCACTAAAATGTTCCCATATATTTCAGTTTTAGTTTGGAATGGACAATAGGCTTAATGGTCTCTGTTAGTCCTGGTAATAATGGTATCTCAGTTGATCCAACTTTTTTGAAAGAATCGATGGATGGAGCCTCAATCACTTGCTGAGGTAGTGAATTCCACTCGTTGATGATTCTATGGGAAAGTCGATAGTCAGCTGACAAGTAATTTGTTCTGGGCTTGTGAACGTTTTCGGAGTGTCCTCGCAAATTCTCTGTCTCGGAAGACGAGAAAAGTTGGGGTATATCATATGCATATTTATTATTAAGTAATTTGAAAACTGTAATCAAGTCAATTCTTGTTTCTTGATATTACAACAGGAATAAGTTTAGCTCAACCAGTCGAGCACCATACGGGAGTTTCGCTATTCGGGAGATCAGCTTAGTCGCTGTTCCCTGAACATTTTCCAAAAGCCCACTGTTTCTTTTATAGTCAGGGACTAGCCACTCGTATATAGTACTCATTTTTAGGACGCATAAATGCTGTATACAGTCAAAAAGGTTTTGGCGTCTACATGACTAAAGGCCCTACGTACTGACCATTAGATTCTAAAACCCCTAGGGGCTATTGCACGGCAGTGCGTAGTAGTTTTTAAGCCATGGCTAACGATGACTCGTAAGTCATTATGTGTCCGGACAAGAAGCAGCTCAATGTTATTCAGCACTTATGTATCTGTACCTTGATGACCAATATGCATCGCAATACAGTTGGAAGTACTTATTGGCAACTGCCAGGTTTGAGACCATTCAGATAATTTCTCGAAGTCATTTCATACCGCTTTCCATATATTAATATCGTCAGGAAATAGCAAGACCGATGATGATAGGAGATGAGGAAGGCCATTTACATATAAGACGAATAACACTGGCTACGAAACCATACCCTGAAGCACTCCGCTTAGCACAGTTTCCCACTTAGACAACTTGCGCCCAACTAAGAAGTCTTTTGCCCACACCAATAGATTGCCTCCAATCCCGACATTTCTAAACTTATAACAGCCGGTTGTGCAGATCTTTGTCAAAAGCTTTGCTGAAGTCAGTATAGGCTACGTCTAAAGCTGACTTTTGGTCTTTGAGAGAGCACCGGATTTCACGAGCCACTGATAAGTTAGTGAGACAGGAATAACCCATTCTAAAACCATGCTGCTTTTCTGAAAGGATAGGATTTTCATCGGGATAATTAAACAGCTCCTTCCAAATAATCTTTTCTAAAATTTTAACAACCACACTAGTTAGGCTAACAGATAGGTAGTTCTCAGGTTTATGTTTCGTATCTGTTTTGAAAACAAGACTTACTACGACAGTCTTCCAGTCTTTCGGTAAACGACCCTGGGTTACGGATAGGTTAAAACATATACTTAAGCGGTTGGTACCGAAGTTAGCTAATTCCTTTAGTAACCCAAGATGCAGTTCATCAGGTTCTATGAGTTTCCCTATGTCAAGTTTATTTAACAGACCAAAGGTGTCGAGTTCTTTAATAGTTTTACTGACCAGTATGTGTGGGGTGATTTGTATGGACTGATAGGAAGAGTTGTTACACGGTATATACATTGCTAAAATAGTTTGAGGATACCTAAGCCTTACCATAATCGTCCTCCACCAATTATGAAGCATTACTGTCTCTCCATTGTGCTGAAAAATCTCCTCTTCTTCTACGAATACAAGCGTTTAGGGCATTCTATAGATTCTTTGACATTTTTTGTACGACCGTCTAGACGGAGGGTCGATACACAAGTATTCCGAGCTTCTTGACATTAAGATTTTGTCTCATCATAATCCCATAATCTAAATCCATCACACATTCTTCTCATATGGAGTAGGGTGCGAACTTCCCTACTCAGCCATGTTAGCGTTCCTCGATTCCCATGGTGTAGTTCAAGTGATGTGAAGCGTAGTAGCGTTTATGTATAAATTTCGAAATACGTTCCAAGCTGTTTCAACCGGAAACTGGTCCTATTGTCCAATCTACTGACGATACTGAGTGTATAATATCTTGTATGTTCGCTTTCCAGACTTTAGGTCTGGGTTGGGCTGACGCGTGCTCGTTTTTGACAGCCATTTGGAAGTCAAAGGTTAGAACTGCATGATCACTTTTACCTAGGGGTAACGTGTAATCGGGGTTTGTGACGTCATCACCATGATGGGTCAATATAAGATCGGGTAGGGATGATTCAGAGTCCAAGTCGTACCCAGTTGCTTCTTCTAAATGTTATACTAGAACACATGTGATAACCACATCAACTACTTCCTTCTCGAAGGAATTCTTTGACAATTCGGTCATCAGACTTTTCCAGTCTATCGTGGGTGCATTAAAGCCTCCTAGGATTAGATGTCGACCACCTTGTGACCGAGTTATGAGACTGTTTAGCAAAACCTCATTTACCTCACAGCTTAGATTGCAGTAGGCCAAACTAATCATCACCTCTTGTCCACCGCATTTCAACCGGTAACTAGGTAACTTATGGGATACACTGTCGATAATGGCGAATGGGATAGTACTCCAAATGAATAGAGCTACTCCCTTCCTTGACGATTCTGAGTTCTGTCGGCTTTTACCAACGCAAAACCCCCAAAATGAAGTTCCATACTGTCTACAGCCTGCGATTATATCTGGCTTGGTATGGCCAATGTGCACAGCTAGTTCCAACCTCTTATTGAGCAAACTTCGGGCATCAGTGTAACAGATCAAAAGCCTACTTAAATGGCTTCATGCTGCACGATCTCTTGTATTTTACCTCTAAGTGTGATTCTCTAAGATATTGTCTAGCAGCAAAACTCACTTATAACTCCAAAACGCGCTAGTGTTCTATTAGATTCGACAGTATTATGAGTAACGTGACATTCCATAATAAAATAATCCGTCTTCCTTCAGGACTGCAAAATTTATAAGTTCAGTCTATATCGAATTGCCGGATAAGTGGTTTTTGTCCACCTACAGTTTTGCTTGCTCTTCTCCTAACTCGTTACAAGAAAACGGTATGCTGCTTGAGGTAATGTGGTACAGTAGAGTAACATTTCCGCAATAAGTATTCAAGATTAAGTATTAAAAGTTGTCTTGAACTGTTTCAGAGTCACGCTAATAAGTAATGGTAAGAAACCCCATTATACTATGTTATTTTCAGGACACAGAGTCTCAGTGGAGCAACAACTGGTCTCATTTCTTGGTAGAAGGCGTGATTCTGGAATCGACACTATAGTACGTAGACGATATGCCTTTACCGGTAACTTTTAGAATTCTGTAGTTACTCATGGTAAGAAGGCCTGAATTTCCTTCAATCTAACCAATAATTGATTCGAGTCTTCTTGTGTAGATATTTTGGGGTCATATACACACACCTTATGATATTATTGATAACCACATAGTCTGAAAACGTTTTTGGGAGATGACTGATAAACAATTAGAAGATAAATACCCTAATGATGTAAGGTTTTGGTACCTCACCTTAGTCTATAGACCACTTTGGCAACTCAGAGCGATCTCTGACATTTCTTATCCTCTCACACTCAACAATCCTATAGCAGCCTATTAAAGTACTTGTACTGACTGTAAGATCCATTTTGAAGGTTTTATGTGTTGGTGAAAATCCCTCCATGTATATACTTGTACTTTGTTCCTATTGATTCCCTTAGTTGTACATTGTTGTATTTTGATTACATTTGAGTTGTTAATACTTGTATTTTTTATTATAGTTTTTGTTTTTCTTACGCATTCACTAAGTTTGTGTTTCTTCCTGAACTGCATCTGTGTTGTTTTACTTGACACTTGTTCTTGGTGGTAGCCATATTGATTTGTTCCTTCTGTTGTGTGTGATCTATCCAGCCAGGATAGAATAACGTTGATTTGTTGTGATTGGTAAATTTCTTGCATCCTTTATCAACTTTCTTATTTACTGTAATTTAGATTTGATCAATTGAACAATTATTGGTTGGATAGCTGAGTGGTTATATTTGTTTAGGTAATAATGTACACTTAAATTTATGATAAATTATAGAACCGCTATCTCATCCAATTACTTTGTTTTGGTTTCAATCGGGCGAGGGCGCGTATCTCACTCATCCAGACAGCTGTCCAGCAGTCCAAACGTAGTTTGGATCTTACACTGACTACTTTTTGTCTCTAACAACTAATCTGATGGTAAATTCCGTCAACTGCCGTAGAGGAATGTATGAGGCATGTAAACACAGATTATTTGGTGGTGCACAGCTCATCCTGGTGGTAACTAGGCTAATATTACGCAACCTACCTGGTAGATGTCTGTGCTGAGATTGAGAGTTTTAAGTAGATAATCTACGGGTATTTCATTATTACCTCTTTCTATACCCTTCTTAACCGCAAGTTCAAGCTATCAGCCTTAAACTGTAAACTTCTACTTCAAAACCCTCTTTGTGTGCAGAAGCGACCAAAAATTTAAGTAACAGATTAGGCCTCAAAGTCTACAATATTTACGTTGCCGTAAAAAGGAGGGAACTATGAACGCGAAAAACGTTTGCTGAGGATAATCCGGTTACGGTTCTTGGCATCGCTAAACGAGTTGTGTAAAGTTAAGAAATGAAGATCTACTAAGT